GAGGAGGAGGGGGTTTGGTGGCAGCAGCGAGTGGGTTCAAGAGCCCTCGCACAGAGGCGGGACGAGGCTCAGCCCGGGCAGGGGTTTCTCCGCTGGGGTGGGTTTTTCTTACTGCAGCGGTTGGGAGAAGGTGCTGTGGAAGCAGGAGGCTGCGTTTCTGGTGAGGTGCTGTGCTGTGGGAGCCCCGCCGCAGGGCTGGGCCGTGGGACATGGGGTGCACGCTGCGAAGCTGCGGGCTCTATACATGCGCAAGAGCGGTGGAACAGAGATTAAAAGTAAACAAGATAAATCCTGAACAGTGTTTGTGCTCTTGTAAGATAGTTCGTATTAACTGCAGTTAATACAGCAAGGAAACATTTCAGAAAGCGTCCTGTGGCTTCAAGCGTTGCTGTTCATCATTCTCCACTTAGTGCTGTGGCTGTGTGCAGTAGGTTGTAGGACTGAAGGATGAGGTTGGGGGGCTCAGAAACACATAGAGGTCTAGGGAAGATGGATATATCCTAATGGGAGTTTTGCACTGGGTGTGGGGTTCCCTGCGTCACGTTCTCTGCTGAAGGTCAGGCCAAATTTCCCTAATGGACCTTCCTGACTTCTGAGTTGTAGCAGGAAAGGCCAGCCTCCAGGCAAAGGTGCTTTTGAAAAAGAAATATCAACAAAAGATGAGTGTGTAATGACAAGGGCACTCCTGTGCCATAAAGTGTTGGGAGATCAGAGGTCCAGGACACAATTTCACCAGCAGCAGCAGCTGTAATTTAAGATTTAGCTGCCTCCACACTGAATCCCAGCCCTGAGAAAGTTCTCTCCAACCCATGGGCTCCTCCATCACTTAGATTCATTTTACACTCTTTTATTTTGTGACTATTTAGTTGGCAGCCACCTGGTTTAGGCCATAGTATAGACTGGGGGCTGTAGCTCCCCCATCAACTCCCCATCCCACTGCAGCCGAAACCTCTCTTGCTAATATTAGTGTGTGAATGTTTTGGAGCGTGTTGCACACCAGCGTGTTTTGCCTTCATCCCCACCCTCCTCTGCTGACGTCCTCCATTCCCGTGTTTGTGTGCAGTGCCCGTGTGTACACAGAAACCTACTGTCGATACGAAAGCCCTTTTGTTGCAGCAGGAGCCATTAGCCTGATTTTGCTGCAGGTCAGCCAGAGATAAGTAAAACCGGTAATAAAACCAGTAGCTTTTCTTCAGCAAGTCCACATTTATAGGTAGAAACGGTATCTGTCATAAGGCAATATAAAGATGTAAGATCTGCGGGATCTGAACATGTCTGAAAATTTGCCTTTCCCCCTCCCATAAAATATATTACCTGTTACTACAGAAATTGCCCTTAGATTGCAAAGCTGCAGCATGGCTAGTGCTGCATGGCTCCTTCACTCAGCGCCTGATCCTATCGCTATACAACTGTTTTCTCCAGCAAATGTAATGTTCAAGTGTTTTGTGAGTCATTTGATTTTAATCATGTCTCTTCATCAGTCACAGACCTGTGGGTCATTGGCTGGGAGAGACCGTGCCAGCCAAGTCCCATGTCCTCCCCTTTATCACAGGAGCACTTGATAATCAGTCCAAAACGTGTGGCAGAGGGTTTTGATGTAGGAAATTAAATGTGCGCTGGTTTATCAGTGAGCTGGGAGCAACTTCTGATGCTGTAACATATTATGCAGGCAAAAGGCACCCTGGGCAAGATAGTGATGGCAGGATTTGGCCGTTATTTAGTAAATTTACTTGCCGATGCTGGTTAAGAGCTATTCATGCAATGTATGAATATGAGGCTGATTGCAGAAACCAAGGTGATGGCGAAGCGGGATAAGTGTTGCTGTGCTAGCAGTGCTGATTGCCCTTGGCTGGCTGGGGGAATTTGTGTCCCCTGTCCCCTCGCAGGCTCCTCCTCCTGCTCGCTCTGGTGCTCAGGGGCACTGTGGGGCTCTCCCCTCTGCTGGACCTTCTCCAACACCCCAAGGTCTTGCTCGTAGCTGGGGAATCCTAATGGCAATGTGGTTATTGGCAGTTAAATGGCATCCAAAATAATTTCCAAGCCTTTGTGGGTGAGCATTGTTGACATCGGTGCTGAGCACAGTTCCCCGCCGTGCACAGAGAGGTGATAGGGAGGGTGCAAATTTTTATAGAAGGGATCTGGGGTTAACATAATATTTTTTGGTCATGGGGCAACCTCATAAATGACAGCCACAGCAGAGGGGGTGGTGTAGACAAAAGCAAAAGGCACTTTGGGCCACAGCTTTACCTTCCCACATCAGCTTGATTTCCTAAAGGGCTAATGTGTGTTTATGTACCCCACTTCACCCTCAAAGATATTTGACCCCGTGGCCTGCTTTTGCCAGATTTGACAAGGGGTGAGATCTCCAAGCGAAGCCGTTCTCAGCTTTGGGAAGAGAGGAGACACGGCAGGGAAGAGGTCCCAAAAGGAGGGGATGCTGTAGTGCGAGCTGACTCTACCAGGCTTCGGGGAAGGAGCGTGCCTCGTTGTCACCACCGTGGGAGAAGCTTCAGTCAGATCTTGCAATCAACCATGGGACACGAGTGTGTCACGTATTTCTTTCTCTCTGGTGCAGGGGCTGCGGGGGTGTGGTGTATGAAATCACTAAGTCACAGGAGTTGTATTTGATGGATTTAGCAAGGCTGTGTATGGCAATATGGGAGTTAAGAGCCTGGTAGGGTTGGCATGGAATTGCCTACTGTGCTTACTCAAGGGCAAGTTGAGACTGATAACAATAAAGCAGGGATGCAACCAATGCCTCTTTTATTGCTTCATATCCTCATTTTAATGGGAAGGCTGTAATTAAGGGAATTCAGCTCCAAGCTATGACCTCACTCGCATGATGATGTTGATACTCGCATCAGATGTTTTCTTAAAAATAACTCATCAGAAATCAGGGAATCTTCCTTAGCAGCTCGTCTTCTAACAATGCAGTTCCTCCTGAAATACTGGTTTCCAGGCCAAAAAACTTGACTGGAATCCAGAGGTAGAGCAAGTCAGCTTTGCATTCAAATAACCTCTTTAGCAACATCGAAAGGCTTTTCTTTCTCCAGCTCTTCTCTCCTCTTCTGGTCTGGAAAAAATCACGGAAAAATACTGGGTATCAATTGTCCTGTGTTACAAATAGTGGTGGAAGTATCCTGCTAACAGGTGATGGAAACTTCTGCCCTTGGGTGTCTGCTAGGCATGGTTCCTGTGGAAACTTTCAGAACAGGATTGCAAGATTCTGCTATGGCTTTGTATACTTTGAGGGCTCCAAGGAGCCATTTGCTGCTTCAGAGAGAGTGTAAATCCTCTTTCTGACAATGACCTGATTGTGTAGGGGTTAAGGGAATTGTCTGGTGTTCAGATGATTGCAGCACTACATGAAAGGATGCTCAAAGCTTGAAAGACTGGACTCTGGGTAGACAGCTTTTAATTCAGCCTATCTCGAGGTAACCATGTCTGCAGTGGCTGAGGCTGTAATTTCGTGCTACCAGAGTTTAGACACCAACACAGAGAGTTCCCAAGCCCGTCATACCTATGGTGGGTTCCCACCCTTGTGCTCCCTCCTTGTGCCAGTGCACATATCTGTGGTTCTGTGCTGCGCGCAGCTGCATGAGCCAGGGTCACTCGCCCACAAACCACACCCCAACTCATTTCTCCCAGGGTTGTTAAATTTTTTATCCAGTTCAGTGATCCAGGTTACTGTGGCCCCATAAACCATGCAAGTTGGCAGAACAGGCGTGGTGGGTTGGTGATGGATAGGAGGTGGATGCTCAACGGGCATTGGAGGCCTTAAGGCATCGGAGCAGCAGTGGGTGCCATGAGGTGAAGTGACATGTAATCAGCAGATCATTTGTTTGCAGACTTCTTATCTGCCAGATGTTTGCATCAGAACTCTAAATCAAGCAAAACTAGATGTGAAAGGCACTCCTAGCTTGCAGAGGGGGTCACAGAAAGGGTCATTCTGTTATGCTTTTGAAATAATCATTAATGAACTGTTCTTCACATTGGTGACGTGCCTTTAATCTGAAGATTTAAACATATTTAGAAACATTAGGAAGAAGAAAGATGTGGGCCTGTATCTTTGATGCTGGTCCCTTAGGCTTGGTTGTCCAAAATTCAGTCTTGGACCCTGATACTCGAAGCAAGTATTGCTTCTGGTTCCAGCTGAGACCATGCAG